GTGCTTGAGGTAGACGAACGCGTCGCGCGTGGGGGCCACGGTTAGGCGCTCCCACTCCACCGCCTGCCCGTCCAGCGAGACCGCGTCGCCGGGGAACACGCGCGAGCCGGCCGTGGCCGGCGCGGCGTTGATCAGCACCCGCCCCGCGGCGATGAACGCGTCCGACTCGCGCCGGGAGGCAAACGACTTGAAGCACTTGTTGATCCGGATCCCCTCGGAAAGCCTGGCATGCGTTGTAGTGTGTCGCGCGCAGAAACGGCGGAACGGGTGAAGCCGCCAACCCGCGCGCTGCCCCGGGAGAGGTAGGCACAACGCGAAAGTCAGCATCTTTCCGCGCGCCGCGTTTGGCGGCACAGGGGCAGCAGCCTAGGCACTATGCGTTGGGCAGCGGGGATCTTGGTTGAAATTCTTGTGCAAACGGTAGAGATCAACAGGGGAATTAAAATCGCGCTTATCTGAGAGGGGGTCCCATGTCGCGTGGCTACGGCACTGAAGCGTTTGAAACGGCCGTCCGCGCCTCCCTTCATGCACCACTATTCTTGATCCACTGAGCGTAAGCGTTGTCTTGCCCGCTGCGGAGCGCTCGCCTCCAAACTCATCAAACAGCATCGCGCCCGCGGCCCCGATCCGAACACCGCGATGTGGCGTCGCCAACCGGTCTTCTCCCTCCTCCGCCGCTCGCTACACGCCAAGTCGTGGACGCTTCCAGTCGACCCGGGCGGCACGCTAAAAGTGCGTCTCCCGACGACCTGCGTGGTGCGCATCAGCCCTCTGAACCCGCACGTGTCCGCGTGGGACCACGCTCGCGTCGACCTGTCCGTGCTAGGCGAGACGGACGAAACGTTCGTGGACGAGGAGACTGCGGCGCACGTGTCGCGCGCTCTGCGCCTTTCTGTGGCGGTGGACGTCGACCCAGGGCGCGCGGTGCTGCTGGTTGAAGCGCCGCCCGAGAGCGTGCCGACTGCGCTTGCGCGCACCGTGCACATGATGCGTGCGTGGGTCGGCGGCCCGTTCCGTGCGCACCGCGCCATCTTCGATTCGCGCGTCGTCGTGGACGTGGCGCTGCCGGGCAAGTTCGACCTGGACATCGAGGTAGAAGGCGGCGGCATCGAGGTGGACGGGGCGTTCCAGGGAAACGTCAAGATCCAGAGCGGCACGGCTGACATCGCGGTCAACGTGCTCAAGAGCATGTACATCGACCTCGAGTCGGAGAGCGGCGACGTGTCCGGCACGGTGCTGCAGGGCAACTTGACCGTTCGCGCGGACAATGGGCGCGTGGGTGTCGGGCGCGTGCAAGGGCCGAGTGTGCGCATTGTGTCCGGGTGCGGGGATATTGAGGCGAGGGCGCTGTACGCGGAGTACGCGATGCTGCGGTCGAGGGACGGCGCGGTGCGGTTGGGAGGGGCGCAGGGGTATACCAAGGTACGGACGGTGAAAGGGGACGTGGAGGTGGCCGGCGTGGAAGGGCGGCTGGATGTGGAGACGGATTCAGGGGATGTGGAGGCGAGCTTGAGCTTGCCGAGGGTGGTGTCGATACGCACACGACGGGGGGATGTGAGACTGGGGCTGCCGGAGGACTTGAAGGCCGGGGTCGTGCTGGAGGGGAAGACGTTGGATGTGCAGAATGACGTGCTGGAGGGGGAGGAGGCAGAGGGAAAGATGGTTCGAGGGGAGATGGGCGAGGGTGACGGACAGGGGGACAGGGGGTCTGTGCATGCGAGAGCTCCCGTGGGGGATGTGGTGGTGAGGAAGCAGAGCTGGCAGGAGCGGATGCGAAGTTCGCCGGACGGGACGAAGGAGGAATTTCCGAGATGGGTTTTGGACGTAGGGGGACCGGGCAAGTAGGGACAGTTGGTTGCGGGAGGACGACGTTGTTAGGTCTTAGGTTAGGTTGTTGTTCACCAAGGCGGATAGAAAAGGATGAAGCAGAGGATTTGGCGGGAATTGACTGTATTTAAATTTTAGCTTTTATGCGAAGCGCAAACACTCTGCAAAAGGATATCAACCATGTGTCTACCTCGCTAAAGAGAGTGCAGATGAAATTCAAGGGCTGACAGACTGTCCAGCGGACCGCCCTCCACCGCCGCCCTGCCGCTTCACTTGTCCTCAACATGGGTCCGAGGAAAGGCCTCTCCTTTGATGAAAAGCGCGACCGACTCATGGACCTCTTCACAGAGACGGTGCGATATCATGCTCCCCACCTCAAACCGCGAGGAACGCCCCGAACCACATTTCCCGATGCCAACCCGTACTGACTCACTGACTCCTACTCCCACTCTGCAGGCCGACTTTTTCACCCTCAAGGAGCTCGAGAAAATTGCCTACAAGCGCAAGGGAATTGGTACGTCGCCCTTCGGTCTGCCCCGCCGCTTCTTACTGCTGCTGCTCACGTCACTGACTCTCCGCCTTTGAAACGCCATCCCATGAGCTAGTGTCCCAGTCGGTGAAGGAGGTGCTTCAGAGTTTAGTCGATGACAACCTCGTCAATACCGATAAATGCGGCGTGCAAACCGTGTTCTGGTCTCTGCCTAGCGAAGCATCCCAGAAGGTAAGTCCAGTCTTACCCTCCAACGCCCTTCGTGTTCGCGTATTGCCCACGGCATCTCCGACCCGTTCCTGACCACGTCCTCCTGCTTTGTCGCCTTCTGGATATCGCAACCCGCCAGAGGAAAACCAAGCTGAGCAACATCAAGGAGGAGTTGGCAGCTGCCCTGATGAAGGGAACCAGGCTGCAAGAGGAGCTGCAACAAGAAAAACTCGGCCGCGAGAAAACGGAGGAGCGCACCGCCCTACTGGAAGCCATCGCCGAAAAGGAGGACCGCTTGAAGAAGGTCACCGTCGAGCTCGCGCGCTTTGCAGAGTTTGACCCTCTCGAAATGACAAAGCTTGAGGACAATATTAAGAAAACCAGGCAATGTGCTAATCGATGGGTCGATAATATATTCAACTGCCAGTCGTGGGCGTCGAAAAAGTTTGGCATGGAGAGGAAGGATTTTGACAGACAGTTTGGCATCCCGTCGGAGCTTGACTACGTTGAAGCCTAGGTTTTATTGGTTGTTTGATTCGTGTGTTTGCCGTTAGTATCTCTAATGGTAATAATGCGAATAGGGTTAGAGCAGCACTGTTCACGTCTTCAAGGCCTCCCGCCATCAGTGGAGGTGACGTGATCAACTTGCGCAACCTGAATGTTTTGTGAAGGCCCTTAAACACACTCCATATTTATTTAATACAGCACAGCATTTCAATTCGCGCTAATTCCGGCCGGCTTTCATCGGCCTTCAGCCCAACGTCGCCAGCGTACTGTCTCGCTCTCAAAAACCTCTCTCTTCCACCCGGTCTTCATCAACGTTGATCTTTCGCACTACGGAAGCCATGGGTCGCCGCCAAGTCGCGAAAAGAAAAAGGGCCACTGACTTAATTCGCCCCGGCCCGGATGGAAAGCTCTGCCTTCCTGAAAGCGCGGGCTCGGTCACCTACGTCCCGAGTTTTCTCTCCCAAGCCGACGCAAATCTGCTGCTTGAAGAGACCAAAGACGCATGTTCCTGGGAGCGCACGCCGATCACCTTTTTCGGCAAGTCCGTGCTGCAACCTAGAGACACTGCCTTCTTCGGCACCAAGCTCTACTCGTACAGCGACGAAAGAAGAATGCCGACGGGATGGGAGGAGGACTTGCCCGCATCAGCCGCACTTAAACGCTTGGGCAACCAGATCGAAGACCATCTGCAGCTGCCCAAGGATTGGTTCAACGTGATTCTGGCGAATCGCTACTGGCACGGACAGGACTTCATGGGCTGGCATTCGGACAATGAGAAGTCGCTGGGCGATCACCCTATTATTGCGTCGATTTCTTTGGGGGCGGAGCGCCGCTTTCTTCTTCGGAAGAAGGGTGTGGTGCAAGAGGGGGAGCAGAGAGAAAAGTTGGAGTATGTTCTCAAGCATGGCTCCTTACTCGTCATGACCGGAACGATGCAGAAGACTTACCAGCATAGTTTGCCAAAAGTTGCGCTGTCCAAGTGTGACCAGCTCCGCTTGAACTTTACGTTTCGTCGCGTCGTAGATGAGAGCGACCAGAGTAAAGGCTAGTGTTGCAGAAATTGCTCTTCCGCACGTCTATTCTCCGTATTAACATTGTAGAATCGTGGCAAGAGCACAAAAGCAAGTGAGACGATACGGTTCAGTTGTGCAGTATGAAAGAGTCTGCAGAGCACCATCCTGGTACTTGCAACCCAGCTCCTCACCCTTCTCGGTGCACTCCCGCTAGTTGCTCTGTGTCCACTCGACAGAGGCCCGTCCTCATACAGTATGGGGCCAGCCCTGCTTTTGCCAAAGCATGTACTGTACGTTAGATCGTAAATTTAGAAAGTCAGTATTCACACCATTTCTTAATCGTAATCGCTCTCGGATGTAACATATTGAGTAACAAGTTTTTAGCACACTGAGAGACTAAGTATCTAATCGAGTCTAAGTAACCAGTTGCCTGCTTAAATGAGCGATTTGTATCGAAGATATCAGTAGATGTCGTTTCAAGGTTGCTTGAAAAGGCCCCTTTGCTTAGCATTTCTTAAAACGACCGGAAAAGACATGTAGTTCTCACCGACTTCTTTCCTTCCATATCGCAGAAGACAAACACGCGGTGGCGGGGGTGACATTTACCCTCTTATCAAGTAAGCACAAGTCTAGAGAAATAAGTTGAAAAGTAACCTTATATGAGGACAAAAGCTATTATAGTTTTTCTAAACAACGCAACGCACGATTCCACTTTTTGATTTTTGAAACTAAAGGTTCATCACCACAGGTAAAGCATTTGCTTGTCGATTCTAGCGAAAACCAACTCGTTGATGCATACAAAGGTGTTCAAAAGAAAAAGTCGGCTTACGGTAGGCACTTTTCTTTACGCCAATTTTATACCAGTAGCATATAAAGTTTATACACTGCACTCAACGTAATGTTTATATTATAAACATTACGTTGAGTGCGTAATATTCGCTTCTAACTAGAGAGAAAATTTAAAACGACTCATACGGTAGGTATTACGGAAGAAGAATAGAAACCGTGGACATCAGAGTTGAAAAGAAGTAAAATTCGTAGATTTTATGTTATGATAACCCTTGGTCGCATGGACACTCCTGTAAACACGTTAGGCTTTTACAGTGCCCTTCCATGTTACAGTACCAACGGTACAGCATGAGGGCAGTAATGCAAAAATCAATTAGATACAGCCCTGTGTCAATAAGGCGCCAAGGAGGCATAGAGATCTCCGACTCGTGTAGATACGCTTTCACACTTTACATGATAACAAAAGCTTGCACACTCCCGCTCGGAGCATGCGACAGCTCTCACGCTTCAGCATCTGGCGTCGTACATCTCTCTGCACGCGGAACGTGTGTCGAAGCTTGTATCTACTGTACTGTAGCCCACAAGCGTGCGCCGGCCCTTTCTCCCCCGTCCCCCTCTGTTATATCTGTCAAAGATTAGATCAAAACTCAAAGAGCACCAGACTGATAGCCATAATGAGCATCCCTGCCATCACGCCAAACGTGGTGACCTGATCATCTGGGTCGTAGCGGTGCGCGGTGGGCAGAAGCTCTTTGATGGAAATGTAGACCATCATACCGGCGACGACGCCGAAGAGAATGCCATACACAATGTGGTTAAAGACCTTTCGCAGGACGACCCAGCCGAGCAGGGCGCCTACTAGCTCGGTCATGCCAGAGAGGGTAGCCCAGAAGAAGGCCTTCTTTTTGGAGCCCGTGGCATAGTAGATAGGCATAGCTACGCAAATGCCCTCAGGGATGTTGTGAATGCCGATGGCGATGGCGACGCTCGCGCCCACGGAGGGGTCCTCCAAGACGGCGACAAAAGTGGCCAGACCCTCCGGGAAATTCTACGCACGCACGAGCAAGGAGAACAAGGACAAAAAAAGAGGACCCGCACCGAGCAGCAAATCAAAAATAAACAAAAAAGTCATTAGTAGACGTGCGTACACGGAAAGCCAGTCACATGTCGCGAGGGAGCTACAAGCGGAAGAGCACTCGCTTACATGAAACGCTAGCGCAATACCGGCGAAGATGCCCATGCGTATCAAGGACTTGCCGTCGTGCCCATGGTTCTCATAGATGTTAGCGATCATGTGTCCATCGTGGCCAACGGCATCGTCGATGTCGATGGGGTTGTTGGCGGGGGTCTCGAACGGGTGCCGGGCCGGGTGCGAGTCCTCCGCGTCCACCTCGAGCTCGTCCGACGCGGATGGGGGTGTGCGCTCCTCGGGCGGGGTCTGGCGGTCCTTCGAGATGGGCGTGGGCGGCTTGGACTTGCCGTTGCGACGAGAGAGGAAGTGCTCGACGCAGTGCAGGGCCTGGTCAAAGGCGTAGGTGATGAGGATGCCGCCGAAGAAGCAGAGCGATGCGTAGAGGTAGGCGTATCTGCGCGTAGGGGGGGAAGGGTGGGGCCACGGGGATAGTCAGTATGGTGTGCGCACGCGGGAGATACGGGCGAGGCATGTGGGTGGGTGCGGGCGTGTACCTCTGCTCGACGCAGGCGCGGAAGTCGTCCAGGGCCTTCTTGGCGAAGATCTCGATGAACGAGACGTAGATCATGACGCCGGCCGCGACGGCGAGGCTCCCGGCCAGGAAGAGGTTCTTGGACGAGGACGAGTACGGCATGCAGAAGGCGACGGCGGCGCCGATGGTGGTGGACAGGCCGGCGGCGGTGACGAGGCCGAAGGCCAGGCCGACGTTGCCGTCGGTGACGACGGGGCCGCACGTGTCGGACATGGCGCTTGGCGAG